CCATATTGTCTAAGTGCTAATAGCGGAGCATACCCGACTGCTCCCCAAAGTCCAAGTAAGGTCACAGTGTCGGAGTCACCACATCGAAAAAGAACATCACTGAGGAATAACCAAGGGGCTCTCCAGACAATATCTCGGTCTTGAAGATGCGTAAAGACCTTCATCCATTTTTCTTTCGAAGCGCCTTCATGCCATTTTAAGGTAATAAATTCACCTAGAGGTGAATAGGTGGTGCTGAAACGGCGGTAGGCAACCCCGTCAGTCTTCTAGAAGTGGCTGTGAATCCAGACCTGAAGGAGCTGAATGCACCCGGTGAATCTTCCTCCGCCAGTTCTTCGGCAATGGTTGAGCGATCGAAAGGTCTCGGCCAAGATGGCTGGTGCTGGGTTAACTCGTTTAGAAAGTTGCTCAAATAGTTCCACCACGGCAGCGTCAATGCACCCCAAAACCTTCGGAAATATGATCAAACCGTACAGACCCAGTGCAAAAAGGTTTATAGTCTTCCACTCATCAGGGTGGTTTTTCATTAGTTGCTTTATATGGATCCACTCGATTCCTTCCCCGCTACCTTTGTGCCGGAGTCGATCAGTCACCCACTTTTCATCAACCCCTGCAATCTTGGCCAGTCCGTTCTTGAAGGGCTGACTCTTGATATGTTTAATATATGCCCTCTCTAGTTTGATGCTTTCGCAGTGCAGTAGAGTAGTATACTCTTCGATAGTAGGCACCATGTCTTCCTGGTTAAAGGTGAAACAACTATATCCAGGGTTCCAGAATTGAATTAATGCTCGGAGTAAGGGCTCATCAGTCTTGACATGGAGCAAGAGGGCGATATCACCATATCGTTGGCTGAACTTCTGCTTTCTGTCATTCTTCCAACTGTCCCAAATGTTTCGCAGCTCTTGGACATTATTCTGTTTCAGGCTGACAGCGGCATAACTAACCAGTTCTAACACATAGTTTCCCTGAAGACTGTCTCCCTTCTCTTTCTGAGCCTTCTCGGACCATAGTCGTGCCTCAGCGTTTTCAATCTCTTGTATTACAACACCTTTGTCCATTAATTCGAATTATTTTGTGTATAACAAACGCTTTTTAGGGATCAATAGCCTCTTGTAATGATGCAAACGCTAGAAAACAAACACAAAGGCAAAAACGTTAGTAAAATAAAAATACAAAAAAAAAATAAAAAAAATGACGGAAGGAAAAAGCGCAAAAAAAACATGGTTATGGTAAAAATATCCTAAGTTTTGGAACGTGGTTTCGGGGTAGGCTCTAATTTCTTCATGGTCTCCCGGTTTAGGTTTAAAAAAACGGTACCCGAGTTCTCCTTGTCGGTGCCCCCCTTGGGCTTGCCAGACCCTTAGTCCTAAACCCATCACAGGCTTGTGTGGACTAAGTTAAACTCGAGGGGACACATTCTCTTATGCCCGCACGGTGAATAAATTCACATGAAGACATAAGATATATGAATCCCGAAGGCTACTTGCTAGGCCCGCACGGTGAATAAATTCACACGAAGGCGTCGCTTTCACCCCCACTTAAAATAGGAATTGGAGCTCGGGTATAGAGCCTTAGATGAAAAAAACTTTGAAGTCTGAAATCATGAGAAAACGATTAGTCCAACTATTTACTCGAAAATATAATCAAAAGTAAGTAAAAAGGATCGAAATATTACCTTAAAATTTAAACTTACCATTTTCGTTAAAAAGACAACTGGAAATTACCTTAGCCTGACTCACTTACCTGTCCCCAGCGGAGTCGCCAAGCTGTCGGAACCGTCTTTCGGTTGGGCCCCAGAATTGGGCTTCGACTTGGATTAATTGGTTTGGAGTCGCCACCGATCATTTATTTTATGAAAAATGGGTTGATCGGATACCTTATTTCTTACCTGATCTGCGTCGTACCAAAGATGTGTCGGATCCGGGAGTCGGTTACGGTCAAGGAAGGATTAGCACCCTTGAACCACCCTTTCGGTACTATGTAATTTCCAGTTGTCTTTAATTAAGAAAATTGTAATTTAAACTAAAAGGTAAAATAACAATCCGAATTATTTTACCTCTGACGAATTAAAACATATCCTTTAAAAGTCAAAAGACGTGTTAGATAAAAAGAAAATTAAATAATCAAGAAAGAGAAATCGAAAGAAATAAAGAAAATAATAATAATAATAAATAAAACGTAAAATAATAAAAAAGTTAATGATAATATGCCAATCCTAGGCTCATGTTTCGAGAGTGTCAGAAACTGAGCACCTAAACCTTGACCCATGAACATGTCCCTTTTAATTAATTAATGGGCGGTGGGCTCTTGCTTTCTAAAACTGTGAGCTAGTCAAGTCTCAAAATAATATATAGTAAAATATAATTAATAATAAAAATGGAAAACAGACAAAACAAAACAAAACGTATATATATATAAAAAATATATATGTAAGTAACGTTATGTGGAAAAATAATTGAAAAAACAAATAAAAAAATTAACACATGTATATAAGTAAAAATGTTAGGAAAGAAAAAAATAATAATAATAAAAATGAATAAACGAAAGAACTAAAAGTAATATCTATATATGAAAAGGAAACGAAAAGAAATAATATATATATATATATATATATATATATATATATATATATATAAATACAAATGTTAAATAAAAAAATTAAATAAAAGAGACTAAATTGAAATAAAAATAAATTTAGTGGCCAAAATCCGAAACGAAAATCAAGATATAAATGCGATTGGGGGTTAAAATCAGGCTTTAAAAAACAGTGAGGGACCAAAGTGGGTACTTTCCCACTAATTCTTAAAAGCACGCGGATGGTTTAAGTATAAAATCAAATTTTTTATCCAAATATTCATTTCTCTCTTCTCCAAGCCGAATCCTCTCCCATCCCTTCGTTTTCTCTCTTTAGTTCATCCTTGGATGAACACGCCGCCACCTGGGTTCCTGATGAACCCAGAAAAAACCCGTCACCGCCTCGCCGCCGCCGTTGAATGGCGATGACCACCGTTCATCGGCGGCAAAAATCCAAAATTTTACATTTTTCCGAGAGGTCTCTGTACCCTCGTTTGAAAAAAAACATATTGATTTTATGAAAATGAGGCCTCGGGAGGGTAGATCTAGGATAGATCCACTCGAAATACCTCTCCCCTGGTCATCGGCCGAACATTTCCTTGGGGTTTTCCGGGCAAAATAGCAAGCAACACTCGACATGCAACGATGAAATACGAACAAACAAAGGTGAGAAAAAAAAACGCTACCTTTTTATTCTCTTTTTCAAAAAACTCTACAAGTGTTTGAACTTTCTTTGTGTTGGCTATGATGAGTTTGCGTGTGTGGTGATTTCTCTGTAACCTTGTACAAACTTGTGTGTCTGTGTCAATTTTTTTTTTGCGGCTCCCCTTTTGAATGTGATTACATGGGTATTTATAGTACAAAAGAGACCCTATTTTTAGGAGTCTTAATGGCATACAAATTGCTCTTTTAACGTTTGTTGGTGGTTGCCTTGCGAGGTCCTTGCGTCGGACGGTTCGGCGTGAAGATCGGAGCTGCGGGTGAGGAAGAGTCCTCGCGGGAAACGACGCCTGCTTGCTAAGTTCTGGAAACCCTAGCCCCGGATTGATTCGGTGTTGAGGGCTTGGACCGGTTCACGCGGGTTGCAGCTGATTGACCGGTTCGTGTGTGCTGCTGGGCCACTCATAATCCTGATATAGAAATGAAACGAATATGTTAGTTTAATAATAATAATAATAATTGTACAATATATATATATGTTTATTTCAGTCATAAAAAGTGTGTCTACAACTATTTTTTCGATCATATTAACATTTTTTCATCCTAAACTCGTACGACTATACCTTAAAAAATCAACCCAATTCAAACTCAATTTTTTCTTTAAAAAACTAACCTTATAAGAACAAGTCATGTAAAAAAACCGATGAGTCTGTGTTATTTATGGCTTCTTACATACATCTTATTGACAATAATACAAAAACAACAATCTACACGAAACATAAAATCATTTAGTAAATTTTTATATTTGCTTAATATCTTTGCATAACCCTAATGAATATGCATATATAACAAGATTGGATTAAAAAAATCAGCATTAATTTAATTTTTTATTAAAGTAAGGAGATTATAAAATAGTATATGTTCTAAATACTCCTAACCATTTGACATTGACCGCTAAATCACTGTAGTAAGTTGATTCATACACTATTAATTTAATTTAAATAGTTAGATACTCATTCATTCAAAACTAAATAAAAAAATAAAGCTCAAATCTCACTAATGTGCAGCAAATGAGCAAAAGCATGTTCACGTGGGGAGGAAGTGGCTTCGCACTCAATCGTCGAACCTTTCTGAATTAGAAGAAATTTAGAAGAGTTGTCGTTATAATAAGTTAGTCTCTATAAAACTTTGTCTAAATTAGTTAATTAATATATTGAATTATCAAAATTAATGAGATTTTTTTTAATAATGTGTTGAATTTTTTTTGGCCGTGTAGTGTGCAGGGCAATGTGTAGGGTGCATGGCAATTTCTAGGAATCATCTATAACATACTATCCTTGAAAGTGGTCTGAAATAGATGAAGATTTCTGAAAACCGTCTGGAGTGTATAACGTCTTCTTCAGGCTTCATGCATGCACAATAACAGAGATAACTGATGACGTTTCATAAGTCATCGATGATACAAATATCCTTCAAAAATCATTGTCTAATTCAGATGACTTCCAACCGATATCGTAATAAATACTTTAGTTAAAAAGCAATTTTCTTTATACTTTACATGAATAATATTTTCTAACACATTATTGGAGTAATTTTACCCAAATCAATGATTGATATATATATATATATATAAAAACTTTACGACATGAGTTTTGCAATTTATTTGGGCCTTTTTCTTGGACCTTTTTTCTTTCTTTATTAATTTTAACTTTAATTTTGTTTGGATTTGATTTTCTCCTCATTTTCTCTCTCGCGTGCATCTTCCACAGCAAACACCAATTAGCCTTCTTCGAAGAAAGAAGAGCTCTTTATTTCCTCTATTTCTCTCAAAATACCCAACACTTCAATACCCAAAAAAAAAATCATAAAACAGGTAGAAAAAAACTGGGATTAAACCTTTACTTACTTCCGCTGCTTATCTCTTTAATCTGTGATTTTATAATCTAATTTTTTTATTAATTTGAGGGAGAAAAAAAACGATATTGTTCCTTCCTATAATGCCCAATTTGTTGCGGGCTAGGTAATAATCTAATCTTCCCAATTACCATCGAATTTTGTTTTATTTCGAAAACTGATTTAGGGTTATTTTGTTTAACATTCACGCTTTGAATCAAAGCTTTTTTTTTTTTTTGGCTTTTGATCGATACCCATTTACTCTTATGGTACTCAGAAAGATAAAGTTTCTATTTTGAAAAACCTTTTTAGTTTTTTTTTTCGTTTATTTAATCGTTGGATAAAATTGGGGTCTTCTTAAAGTTTTCTATTTTTGTATAATGGGTACTTGGTGTTTGCTCAGTTGGAGTTTTTGTTTGATTGTATATTTTGTTTCTAGGGTTTTCATCCGGATCAACGGATTGGGGGAATTTCCCGAATTGGGAACTGATTAGGGTTCTGATCAGAGTATGAATGAGCTCAACCTCTCGTTTTTGCAGTATCGGATTGAGGAGCTATTTCTCTCGAGCTTTGGTTTTTAAACGGATTGCTTAAGGGAAATGGTTATTGGAAAGCTTTTGGACGTTGAAGAAGATTGCTTTCATGATTACTTGCGTAGATAGTGATTCAAAAGCTTGAGGATTTAGTTGTTTAGACAAAAGGGTGTTTGGGTTTTTAGTGATATTTTTATGTGGTTGATCTCAGTTGGTGGATGATTTTGGCATTGGGTTGTGTTATTGGGAGAAGAAGGTGATGATTCTTTATTGTGCTGCAAACAACAGAGAGTGTCAGATTTTACTGGACTAATTTTGTTTCTTAAAACCCCATTTGGTTTATCATAGTTTTTGAGCTAGAATTCTTGATCAGAAGAGCATTCTTGAAGTTATATTTCTATTTTGGGGCATTGTTGAAGTAGCTTAGGGAAAGATAAGAGTAGGTTTAGCAGTGATTGGAGACTTTGCTGCGGTGATTTTGTCATTCGAAGTGATTTGTTTAGTGTTAGATAGTTGAATTGGGGCTACATTTGAGGTTAGGGAGATTAAAGAGCTTGGTGGATTTAGGAACTTCTTTGAGCTATCGAGAGTGACAGGGAGTTCATGAGGAAACATTGAAGCTGGAAATGTATGCAGGGATATGGTGCATGGATAGGAGCATAGTTACTTGTTGTTCTCTTTCTGGAGCATTGCTACTGGAAGATAATCCAAGTGTTTTTGCGTTCGGAAGGCATTATCGTTTCGTGTTCTAAACTTCTGTGAAATGTCGCGTTGCTTTCCTTTCCCACCACCAGGATATGAAAAGAAGGCTAGGACCAATGACGTGGACTTGCTAAATAAGGTTAACATCATTTGCTTGTATTCTGCGCCATTATCATGGTAGAATCAGTACACATCAGTATCGCGATGAGAACAAATTCCCTGATATCTGAATTGGATTTGAGCTTACGCATTCTGTTTTTATTTCCATGCGATGTTAAACTCTTTATAAAGTTTTTTTTTCCTCTGAAAATGTATTTTATGTATGCATAATCTTCTGTGACTACTTTTACTGAGAATTCAGTAACGCCATGCCTTGCTGAATGAGGCATGTATATAGTTTTATGGATTAGGTTGATAGGCTGTATCATGAACATATCATATAGGAATGGAGCCTTTATTTGAAATGAGCCGAAAGAGATTTGGTGCAGCATTGCTAATTTATTTATATCACCATTAGTCACTAGTTGTTATATTTACGACTGAATGAACATCTCAATTGTTCTTTCAATCGTATATGGTCTATATGAATCTATGTCATGTTTTCTATTATACTTTTTCTGATTTATTTAATTCATAGAACAAAATTTTGCCAATACCCTGTTGAATGAAAGATCAAGTCGGGTTAATATCTCTCACCTTTTCTTTCTCCTCGCTAGAGATAAGCTTCTACTAACTGATGTTTGACTTGCTCTATGGATCACACAATAAAGAATTTTACTATTTTTTCTTCAGGATTTAATGGATTTTTCAATCATCCTTCTTAATGTGCACTTTTATTTCTGTTCTTATTGACGATGATGTTAATGTTTACAACCTTTGATAAGTGACGAGTGACGACACCCGTGTGTAATCAAGCTTGTCCTAAGGTTTAGCTCCCCTCCACTAATTTTGTGTCCTTACTGATTATGATTAATGTATTGAGAAGTAATGGATGAAAAAATATTGGGATAGAATATCAACCACTTCTCCTATTGGTTCGAGTATAAAGTTATTCATTAATTAAGAACACATGAATTTACTTGGTGTCTGTTTTGACTATATCTGGAAGAATCGGTTTCTTCCCGAGTTTTGACATTCTTAATATCTGTTGGAATAGTTGAATCCATATGCACTTGTGTTTGACAATCTTAAGATGGCTGTTAATGCTTTATCATATACCTTTAATTCCCACTGTCACAACCTTTCAAGACGGAATGCAAAGGGATTTTTGAGATAATTATCTTCTACGATGGCCTGTATTTAATCCTGATATATGATCGGTGTGTAATATGTCGATCTAGGTATTTCCGTAGGTATCTTTATATCTGCACTGATTGTAACTTGGTGCAGAATGGATCTTTAACTTTTGGGGTTTACCGAATATCTGTTTGGTAGTTTCTGAGTTATGTCAATATTTCTCTTTTGTATTTTGTTTATGAATCTATATTTAGAAAAACTGCATTCTCGATTTTCAGGAGAAACAAAAAGAGAAGAGTGTTAAGGAGAAGAAGAGGGACAAGGACACGGAGGAGAAGAAGAGAGAAAAGAAAGAAAAAAAGGCTAAAGATAGAAGCGATGGAAAGCAAAAGGATAAGGATAAGAAAGACAAAAAGGAAAAAGACAAAGATAAAAAGAAGGAAAAGGGTCGAGATAGAGAAAAAGAAAAGGACAGAAGTAATAACTCAGAGGAAAAGAAATTATCTGGTCATTCCGATGTTCAGAATGGGGAGAAAATCTCAGATGAGAAGAAACTTCCCGGAAAATCTGAAGGTCACAGTGCGGAGAAGTTTATCCAGAAAGAGAAGGTTAGGTATAAAGATCGAAGCAGTTCGTCAGGTGAGAAGAAACTTGCTGGGCACATTTCAGGTTATAATGGAGAGAAGATTGGCCAGAATTGTCATCTGGCTGAAGATTTCCGGGATTCTAAATTTGTGCAGGAGTTGGCGGGGAGGGTCAGAGATGAAGGTGCAGGAGCTAGAAGCGAATTGGTGGACAAGTTTACGGGTAGTGACCGGAAAAAGGATGAGGGAATGGTCAGTTTTGTGGCTAAGACTGCTAATAAATTGGCTGAAGAGAAGGAAAAGACCAAGAAAAGTGATGATAGGAAGTTCAATGTGCAAGGAATCGAGGAGGAAACGAGAGCTGGTGGAAATGCTATGGTTTCGAACCTTTCTGCAGCAAATAAAGCTAGAGTTGAAGGGATCCCCAATCAAGTGGAGAATAATGCCGAGAGGCGCGGGGAAGGGAAAGAAAAAACCAAAGAAAAAGGAGATGATAAAATCAGGGATAAACGCAGGGATAAACACAGAGAGAAGAAAAGTCACAGAAAATATAAGGATAGGGACAAAGCGAAGGAGGAAAAGGCTAAGGCGAAAGGTGAACATAGGAATTTGGAGTTGGATAACTTAAAAGGAAGCAACAGAAATGACCATCTGAATGTTTGTATACACCCATTTTGACCGGGCTTAAAAAATATATTATTATTATTATTATTAATAAATATTTACACTCTTTTGCAGGACTAAACTCAAGCCCAAAATAATTACCCAAATGAAGCCTAAATTATCAATACAACCCAGTAGCCCAAGACCTAGTTGGAGTCCAAGAATTCAACCCGACCCGTGAGACCCGACCAACCCGACCCGATTCACCTAAGACTAAACAACTTGATGTCGCATAGTGATCTGCCGCCGCTCCACTAATCCCTGCTTCCTGCCACTCACAAGAGATATTGTATTCAAAACAACAAGTATGTAATAATTTTTATTATGTTAGATATGTAAAATGGCTATAAAAGCCAATTGAAAATGTAAGAACAGGGGCGATTCCTCTGGATTTTATTCAAGGAAATACAAAGCAATCTTAAGGTATCTTTGTGTATTTTTTTCCGAAATACCAGTAAGATATTTATATATATATATATATATGCATAATAAACATATATTTTTACAGCATGTAGTAAAAATAGAGATAGATTAAAGGGATTACTTGGTGAGGAGGGTAGAACCGAATCCTTAGGTACTCCAATAATTCTAGTTTTAAGTTTATTTGTTTAATTCTTAGATTGCAACTAAAAAATCAGTTAGTATAAGTTTTTTTGTTTATCTACAGATTTTTTCGCTTTCTAAAAAAATATGTATGAGTTAGGGATTTAAAATTACCTAGATGCCACGGTGTTCGTCGGGGTAGTGTTGACGTCGCCGGAGTTGGGATGAGCCGTCTGCCGTGGGTTGAGTGCTAGAGCAAAAAATAAATTGATAAAATGCTAGGGTTCTATCGCAAAAATGAGAATGAAAATTGGGAAAGGGAGGCATTTGTTTTCGGTTCACGTGAACTGGAAATAAATAAGGAAGAAGAATGGTACCGAATCTCTAAATTTTAATCAATCAAAGGTAAGTAATTTGAATCGAATCTTTAAATTTTAATTTTAATTTCAATTTTCACAATTAAGACAAACCGACAAATTAAATAGTACTGAAAGGGTAATTCAAGGGTGTTAATCATTCCTTGATTGTAACTGACTCCCGAATCTGATATATTTTTGATAAAACGCAGATCAGGTAAAGTGGTATCCGATCAACCAATTCTTTTATGAAAAATAAATATCGATGGCGACTCCAATATTTTATTCTAAATCGAAACCAAATTTCGAACTCCGCCCGAAAAGCGGTTGCGACAATATCATCAGTCTGAAAACGTTGCATCCTTCTAAGGAGGGAAACAAGGATGCCATTGCTGAGGAAAATCTCCGCAAACGGAAGGACTTGGGAGAAAAACGGATTTTTTTCATGGTTAGTTTTATACAATGATTGTATATAGAATCTCGCTGCTTTGAAAACATTTTCAAAGGCGACTGCCTCACCTATATGTCCCCTCGGTCCATCCTGAGTTTGTTCAAGGTGTTGTTGGAAGAATAATTTTTTGAATGTTTACTTTTACTAAACTTTTAGGGTAAATTAACTATCATTTTTGATCTGTTAGTACCTAAACTTTTAATTTATTCAAAACCATTCATAATATTTAGTTTTTGTTTCATTTTAGTACTCACTGTTAAAAACTTAATGTGTTAAGTACCTAAACTATAAAATTTAATCATTTTAGTACCTGAACTTTCAAAAAGTTTTTCAAAACTCAACGTTAAATTTTGAATAGTGATACTAAAATGAAACAAAAAAATTAAATTTTAGGTATTTGTTTTTGAAAAAAATTAAAAATTTAAGTACTAAAATATACCAGAACTGATAGTTTAGATCCTAAATACGTAATTTACCCAAACCTTTATTATATATGTGGATATTGACCCAGACTTCCTTTAGTTTCTTCAAATTTGTGTGAAGTGTTGACCTATTTTAAGTCAATATACTACTATTTGTTTATATTACATTGTTACAGTGCCAATAGACATTAAAATATGATTTTATTAATATTTTAGTTAATAGATAAATGTCCAGCTTAGACAGCTGTCATTTTTTTAAATAAAAAAGGTGAGTTCGGAACATATGAATAATTAAGGAGCCATTTGAAACTTTAAATAGCCAGACGACTTAAAAAAGAAACATCCTATAGTCAAGATATTATTTTGTAAACTTTAATAGTACTTAAAATAGTAGGATGAGTAAAAATAAATGACTGAGATTAACAGTAGGAAATGTGAAAATATTTAATTAAAAAAAACAAGGAGTCAATCTCATATATTTATTTTCACTCATCCAATGATCCTAAATTTGTGTAAAACTTAAGAGTTTTACATTGTGTAAGTAGATCATAACCCATAGAGAAAGATAATCATAAATTTGATTAAAACTCTTTAAGTTTTAAAATTAAAAAATTCAAATTATATATATTTTTAAAAAGAGAAGACAAATTTTGAAATAAACTCAAAACTTTGAAAACTATCATTTCAATACCTAAACTCATATCAGCAGTTCCGTTAGCTAATAGACGAAAACTAAGACGACGTATGAGTAGGAGGATGGCAGAGACTATATCGATGGCGGTGATCATAGCTGGAAAGGGCGACAACACAGATTAAGGTTAACATTTGGGATTTTGGGGTTGTTTTATAATATAAGAAAAGTTAATGTTTTTAAAATATATATAA